TATTGCCCCACGGCTGTAGGGGGTGAGCGGGGGAGAAGAAGAGGCGCGCAGACGGGACGAGCTCGTGGATATTTCCTTCCTCCGCCCACCTCCGCCTCGCGTCCCCCCCCCCAATTCCTTTTGGGAAATTTGAGGCAAGACTTGTTCCTTTGCCAGCCGCCGCCGCCGCCGCCGAAGTCCACGCGGGCGCCTGAGGAGGGAAGCCGGGGCCGCCCGGGACGAAGGGGAAAGAAAGGGTTGCCTCGTTGGCTTCCCCTCCCTTCAGCGGGACAGGTTCAGAGAAAGGAAGACCCCCCCCTCCCCGCTCCTCCTCACCAATTCCACACAGTTTTTTCCCATTAAAAAGAGAAAAAAAGTCGGTTGAGTTGGATTTTCCTATAAACGGAGGCATCCGTTTATAGGAAAACAGTTGATATTCATTATATTCATTTCTCTGGGGAAACAAATACTCAGTTATAGGCCTGCCCAGTCCTGCCCCCCAGAACCTGCTGGGCCTCTAACTGGGCTCCACTTGGCCCTGGGCTCTGTCATCACACCATCCCAGAAGGAGTCCAGTGGGCTCTTCCCTGACTCCCTGTGTAACGGACCACAGACTGGGTCACCACAGGAAAGTGCCCTTTGGCAACTGGCTTGGGAAAACCCAATGTTCACCAAACTTGGAGGGATTGTACATGAGAGTTGTGGGATGCTTCACTGTGATTTTGGTGTCTCTCGGGGGAAATTTTCCCTGCCCTCCCCCCTTTGTGGGTGTGTAGCTCAAGACATCTGAAACCCAATCTTCATCAAATCTGGAAGGACTGTATAAGAGAGTCAGGGAAGATTCTTTGCAATTTTGGTGTCCCTAGGTGCGCGGGGGTGGGTGGGTGCATTTTATAGGCTAATGAATTGACGAATCAAAAAGTGCTAAAATTCATTGATTCGTATTTGTCAGGGGCATTGGTTCGTACAAATTGATGAACTGGCAATTTTTGAAGAAATTTGGTGATTAATACTGAGTTTTATACACTTTGCATTATCTTAGTCAAGCTGTGCAGCCTGTTTAGCTTGATGTCTTTACACAGGCCCTGGTGCTGGTGTTGGGAAGAGTGAGGCACCTGCTTGGAGCTGCTCACTGGATATCGCAGGTGAACAGGGGCTCTTCTGAGCAATTCCGAACTCCTGCAGGAAGGCCCTGTTCAGTGGTGGTATTTTGAGCAGATTTTGTAATTGTGCATACAGTATATTCTGTTAGGAAATCTGTTTTTTAAATCATTCTTGTGGCCCTGCCTCTAAAATGTAATGTATGCTTACCTTTTGACCCTCTGAAAAACCACGTTTTCATCCAGTGGCAACTTTTATGTTAAGTTACATGCAAAACAAAGTGAAGCAAAAAAATAAAAATAAAGCAACAGACTACAAAAACTGGGACAAAGCTCTGCAGAGGACATTGTCCACATTGCCAGTGTTGAAGTAAGAATCCGTCGCCAATTCAGTTTCCTTCTGTGCATGGAATGGATGGGGGTTGGGCATGTTGAGTGAGAGCTCACCCTATTTTGTTCTTTGGCTCTGTCAGCAAGATGCCTTCTTATGGGCAATCACAAGGCTTACTGTTTCTGACCCAGAAATAAGGTTTCAGTGCCATGTGTGTGGAAGTCATGGATACTATATTTCACACTGACCCAAAGCAAAAGTTCAAATAACAGCATATCTGTGAAGATTCTCAGTCATCCAGGTTAGGTTATCTGGAAGATGAATCATGGCAACTGGACTTCTTTCTTATTAAGTTGAAATGTTTTGCTACTCATCCAAGTACAGTCGTGCCCCGCTTTACGATTGCCCTGCGTTACGACGAAACCACATTATGAGTTTTTGCAATCGCTTTTGCAATCGCAAAACAATGGTCTGAATAGGCTCTTTTCACTTTGTGATGATCGGTTCCCTGCTTCGGGAACCATTTTTTCTCAAAATGATGATTTTCCTACAGCTGATCGACAGTTTCAAAATGGCCACCAGGTAAATAAAATGGTTCCCCACTGTTTTCTGGGACGGATACCTTGCAAAACAGCCACCAAAAATGGCTGCCCTATGGAGGATCTTTGCTGGACGGTGAGTTTTTAGCCCACTGGAACACATTAAATGGGTTTTAATGTGTTTCAATGGGTTTTTTATTTTCGCATTACGACGTTTTCATTCTACAGAAATTTCGCCGGAATGAATTAACATTGTAATGCGAGGCACCACTAGCTTCTTCAGTCTGAGGAGAGTTGCAGCACAAACTAGGAGTCATCAGAGCAAGAAACATCCCCACCTCCACGGAAGCTAAGAAGAAGGAAGATGGACATCTGAAGACAGCTCTTAAGGTCTGTGGATATCCACAATGGGACTTTAACAAGGCAATGTCCTGACCCAGCAGGACAATGGAATAGTCTGAGACCCAGAGCTGTCCGAAAAACCTGGTCATTCCTTACATGGTGGGTGTGACTGAAAAGCTCAAAATGATTTTTGATAAATAATAAAATGGTAAAAATAATAAAATAATAAAATACCTGTGCACTTCAAACTCACAAACACACTAAGGCAGAGAGCCATCCATCCAAAAGACCAGACACCAAAACACAACAGGAGCAATATAGTATACGCGGTCCAATGTAAAGAAATGTGTTTCAAGCGCTACATTGGAGAAACCAAACAGCCACTAAACAGGAGACTGGCCCAGCACAGGAAGGGCAATGCCTCAGGATGAAAATCAGCAGTGTTCATTCATTTGAAGGACAAAGGACACTGATTTGATGACTAAGATGTACTAATTTTGGACCAAGAAGATAAGTGGTTTGAGAGAGGGGTCAGGGAGGCTATGCACATGCTTATAGAGAATCCCTCACTCAACAGGGATGGGGGCCTTAGATACAATCTGTCTCCTATTTATCATGCTCCCCTTTCATCCTTCCACAGAAAAATCAGGATCACACCCACCAGAAAGACCACTGTTAACAACTGTTAATGATCCATGACAATGGGTGGAGAAGGGCTGCAGAAGTGGGGTTTTCCCTCACACACACACCCCTCCTCTGCCCTTCTAACAAGCCTATTCAGACCAGGGAGAAGTGAAACAATCAGGGATCTGCTATCAACTCATCCTCTACTTGGATGAGTAGCAAAACCTTTCAGCATAATAAGAAAGAAGTCCAGTTGCCATGACTCAACTTCCAGATATTCAAATAACAGCATTTGTTTTCGTTTTTCATACAGCAGCTTCTGCCTTTAAGCAGTGTAAACCTGGGCTCATGTACGTTGACAAGGAAAAGTTACTCTTTGCTGCTTCATTTCAAACCTGTGTAAATGTATTACAGCTCATCATCATCATTTAAACTACCTCTGGAATCATTATATGTACCAGTGTACCATATAACATGGCTTCCCTTTGCATTATTCTTTAAAAGGAGAAACAGCAGCTTCTGCCTTTAAGCAGTGTAAACCTGGGCTCATGTACGTTGACAAGGAAAAGTTACTCTTTGCTGCTTCATTTCAAACCTGTGTAAATGTATTACAGCTCATCATCATCATTTAAACTACCTCTGGAATCATTATATGTACCAGTGTACCATATAACATGGCTTCCCTTTGCATTATTCTTTAAAAGGAGAAAGAGCTATTAACATGGCTTCCCTTTGCATTATTCTTTAATAGGAGAGAGAGCTATTGATGGAAATGTATCAACAATGTCCACATACAAAGGCTCACCAGCTGAACTGTTTTACAGTACATTCAGCAACATAGCCCTTAATGTGCATTTTGAGCACTGTTATTGACAAAGGCTCACCAGCTGAACTGTTTTACATTCAGCAACATGGTCCTTAATGTGCATTTTGAGCACTGTTATTAAAAGTAAAAGGGAGGAAAATGCTGTTCTTGCTCATGCTGGAAGCACTCTGTTCAGGGTGTGGTGCTGGTTGTGTCTTAGTAAGAACATGAAAAGAGGTAGCCTGAAGATGTATTAAGTTTTAAAGCATATGTGTATGTGCTTGTCGTCATTCTGTTCAGGGTGTGGTGCTGGTTGTGTCTCAGTAAGAACGTGAAAAGAGGTAGACTGAAGATGTATTAAGTTTTAAAGCATAATTGTATGTGCTTGTGGTCATGCGCACACACATTATTTTGTGTCTCCTTCTTTAATTTTTTTCCAAGTAACTGGGCTTTGGATACATTGTAGCAATCACTCCCCATTTTTGTTGCATTCTGATGTGCTATTTCTGATTCATTGTGATTAAGTGTGAAGACTTAAAGTTTTGAAGTTAGGTAGGTAGCAAAATAAGAATTTGGAAAACTCATCTATTTTAGGGTATAGCTAGTGGAATCCCTAAGCCAGTGTGGCCATTTGCTATGCTAGCTGATGAATTCTGGGAGTTGTAGTCCAAAAGAATAAAAAATTTTGAAAGTTTGTACACGTGGCCACTATTTAAGCAAATGTCAGAACTGCCCTGAGGGAATCTGAGATCCATAGTGATTTAGTCCCCTTTCAACCTGCCAGACACAAAGGAGAATTTTTGTTGCACACCACATGCAAGTATGCAGCAATGCATTTTACAAAACAATTTTGTTTTTGTTTTTTAAAGCAAAGTAGTCAGAAGATAGCAACAACTTTTAGTCGACTATTATAAAGTCAGCAGCAGGGGAGTTGGGAAGATAAGAGAAGTTTCTACTTGGTGTCAGGACGCAGTGCTTGGGAAAGTTACTTTTTTTTGTACTTCTGTAGGTAAAACAAAAATATCCCTCTTAAGTTCAGCCAAACAATTGATACTGGACAGGGGCCTTGGTAAGAACATTTCATAACTAGGGTGGCCCTTTCCATTGGCCTTCAAAAAGCAATGCAGATTGTGTCCTTATCCAGACTGGATTGGCTGTTCACCAGAGTGAGGCAACAGCCTCAGGGAACAGATGTTGGGGTGCAGGAGTGTTAGTTCTCAACCCTTCAATTTCAATCCCTCTGTCATTCTTCATTGGATGTCAATGGGCCCATTGCCTCTGTGGATAAAAAAAATCTATCAATCAGTTACTAGTCCAGTGGTGTTTGTACATAGAGTAGGATGGTGGCCATCATCTTGTGTTTTGTGTCAGGCAGAAAAATGTCTTGGACTGGTCCTGTTGCTCAGTTAGCTTTAAGGTTTGGTTCAAAACTGGTACATTCTGTTCTGTGCAAAGTTTTGTGTTTTATTTTTGTACAGCCATGCAGAATTGCAAAAAGCAGTTAAATGAATTTCCAGTGCTGGCAGAGTTTACATATTATTCATTACGATGAATTCCAGAACAGGCAGTGAGGAATGGTGGTGCCTGGTGAGGAGGACAGAAGTAGCTGTTTGAGCTCAAAGGCAAAGCATGAATAAATCATAAGGAACAAAAATATGCACACGTGAAGCATTCTGTGTGTAAATGACATGGCTTGCCAGACCCTTGGAACCAGGCCTCTGCTGACTTTTAAGCAATGATGCTGTAGTTACACTGGCTTAAGGACTGGGTGGATCAACCAACACATATACAGTACTGCAATGGGCAGTGTAACACAGGAAGAGGAAATATAGATCACGTCCCTTCTGCAAATAGAAAATTCATAACTTGTATTTTCTGTGTTGAGGGGGAACGATCATATGTGAGCTCACACATCCAGTGTTACAAATACACAGCACAGTTGAAGAGAATGCACTCTGAGCTAGACTGCAATAATCTGTGAATTAGATGGAATATCTCTCAAACGGACTCTCTGTCTGCTGAGTCCCACCCCCCACTTTCCCAATAAGTCTAGTCATTCTCCTCAGTAATTTATTTACTGAAGGAGAAACATTAGATACACAAAGCAGCCTTGAGAAGAGACTCAGTGATGAGTTCAGATATTGCTGGGAGTATGAATTGCCCTTTCTTGTTTGCTCAAGCCAATACGATAATGGTTTTTTTTGTTTATTTGGACCCACACAACTCTAGAATTCCAACAAGATCTGGACACTGACCCTGTGCCTTGTATATGTAAATCCATGGCACGTGGCTACAGAAGATGCCAGCCATGAATCAATCAGAAGCAAATAAGGTACTGTTCATTTTTCAAGTGGCAGAGCCAGCCTATGGGAATACTTGGATACTTGTGTTGCTGTGGATTATACACTATTTAGAGCAATAGTCATAAGTTAAATCAGAATCTATTGACGGATGTCTGAGTGGTTTGTCATAACTTAGCAAGAATCACTAACTGCTCCCAATGGCTTAATGTCATAAGGAAGGTTCAAATAATAGACTGTTAGAATCCCTATAGTAACTCAGATGCACGTGTGCATTTGCATAAGATCACTGCAATATCTGTCTTGCCATGACACTGTTGGTGCCACCAAATGTACCACCACTTTGCCTCCGGCTTCATTAGGATTCTATTAAAAGACAACAACACAAGTCTCATAGTCTGCTTTACCCTGTAGTGTAAGACAACAGATGTGTGTTTTTATTCCTTTTGTTTTGAAATATGGGCTTCTCTTATAATAGGGACGAGAAATGGGAATTCTCCTGATTCTGCAGATGTTGCTGGATTGCAACTCCCATTTGTTGCAGCTGGCATTGCCAGCAGTGTGGAATGGTGAGAGCTGCCGTCTCACAATGGTGCTGGTACAAGGTCTTCTGCCACCTGAGACACAATAAGTGCTGCCACTGCCTCCACCTCTTGCTGCTATGATTCCTGCAAGGAAACACTAGTGGGGAGGAAGGGGGAAAGCAGCAAGGTTTGCTATAGCAATGATTGGTTGTTTTGAATTGCCACTGGCTATCTTCCCACCGCTTTACTTTCTGACTTGGGGTGTTTTCAGAATTCTTACTAAGTTGTACAGAATCTCTACCCAGGCATGGAACTACTAATCCATGGCCCAGTCCTTTGCATGTTTGCTCAGAACTAAGGCCCTGAAATCAGCTAGACAAATTCCCAGGCTAATAACGCAAGTTTGCTAATTTCACAATCCAGGGTTGAACCTCAGATATCTATTTTTCTGGGAGAGGGTAGCAATCCATATCTGTTGCTGATAACAGCTCATCCTCAGTTCACAAGGGTTTTTTAAAAAGTGTGTTTGTACGTTCTGTTTTATGTAATCAGGTATAACATTTGTATCCTTCAAGTTTGGATTAAGATTGTTGACAATTTTGATTCACAAGTTTCAATTTAAAAAAAGTCAATTTTTTAGATCTGAACAATACACAGGAAATTGTTCTGGTCTTCCCAAATAAATTTAAAAAGACAAATTTCATGTGACACCACTTGGGAAAAGGTGAAATGCCTCTCACACACTATACACCTTTTAACAGTCATAGCTTTGATTTTTATAGACGCAGCTGTATAGATCAGTTCAAAATGACTGTAAATATGTTTCATGGCATGCATCTCAAACTTTCAATCCTACATCATTTATATGGAAAATTATGTTTGGCTTTAAAGTAATTAAATGTCAATCTACCTGTAAACAGAATGTTTCCATATGTCTAGTCCTTTGTGCAAGAGAACATCTTGCCAGCTTAAAGTGTCAGTTACATGTTTATTATGAGGTTTAGTAACCAATGTTATAGCTAAACTACAAAGGCAGAAAATCTTCAGCATTACATACGTAGAACATTTTAATAAAAATAAATTTAAAATACACCAGTCAGCACTTTTTGCATAGTTTTGTAATATTTAGGCATTAAAATTGAATTGTACGAAGTCTTTGGTAGATGCTTGGTTACACATCGGTTTTCCAACTGAAGTTCTGCAAATCTAGACCATAAACGCTATTTACTTAGAATTTCATTATCCTTACATGAGATATGTAAATGCATGAAAATTGCACACAGCAAGAATACACAGCCCACATTAGTGAACAGACACATTATTGTGTGGAAGGTATTATCCACTCACTGCTAAAATCAGAGTTGGGTAGCATGTATTTTGGATGCTCCACTTTTCAAGGCACAATAATGCTTATAGATGTTAGTTTAAAGCCTCCTTATTTCTTTGTATGGAGAAGCCTTGATGAACTTGAATGCATGGTACAGCCCTTCTGTACATGGTAGCAGCCATAAGCAGGCAATTAGCTAAAACATACCATTTCTTTAGAATTATAACTTGAGAAGAATCCAGAGACTCATACAATATCATTTACATAAAGACACAATATATACTATAGAGTGAAGTCATTCTGTTTCATTAAATAAAGCATCAAGATTTACTGCCTGCACCAAACCAAACTTTTATTTGCAAGAGTACATTTTGGAATGACAGTCATTTTTTATTTTGATTCTTAGGAATTTGCATAACAGACAAAAGGATGAAGAATTTAGTTACTTCCCTTTCTCTGTGCATTTCTGTGTAAACTTTCATACACCAATGTTTTAGACCCTGAACTGTGTCTGCATCTTAGAGAAAAATTCCAAGAGGAACAGAATAATAATATTTCCCTAAGAAAGTCTATCCTTCAAAATAAGGCAACAAGTTGGCATTCTTTCTTTAAGCATCTTATAGATGTTGATTTCTTACCCCAAGCCAGAATCCTGTTTTCTGCCTAAAACATATACTAAAAATGTTTGTCTACTGACTTGAATGAAAAAGGAGAAGATACAAGCATTCCTTCCTTAGCATCATCATGTGTGCTTTGCAGCACATCTGGATGGTTAAACTCCATGTTGTCAAACATTTTTGTGCCTTAATTGGGACTCCATGAATTGAGGCTAGAACCTAGTCTAATACACTGGTTAGGAATGTGCGTACATAGGTCCCATGTAGAAGCACAGAAGATAAAAGAGAAAAGCAACTTTGGATCCCATAACTGGCAGGCAATATGAAGCTGGTCTGGACTTCTGCCCTTGCCTTATTAGTACCCTAAAATACTTTCTAAGCTTCTGAAAGGGCTCCAGTTCCAATCTTAGCTTTGGCAGAAGTCCTCATTTCCCAGTACTGACTAAAGAGACAAAGGTAAAGCTACCTGTGTACTTAGCTTGGCATTCTGGTGATCCCACACCATAGGAAACCACTAGATTTGAGAAGCTGCAAGTACTAGAACATTGGTTGGTGGTGGGTTATGCAAGGCTCTGATAAATTCCAGAGAGGACTCGTTGCTTAGGTACCTGGAAGAGTTGACTGGTATGATTCAGACAAGGAAAGTTTTCTGGTGAGACAAACCACATTCTGGAAACATTAATAACTCTGATAGCTGCAGAACTTGGGCAAAAAGGTCCAAAAAGTAAGTTGCTCAATAGTTACTGCTAGTATAACTTTGAAAGAAATCAGGCAATATTTGTCTCCCTCATCGGGCAGGCAAAACCGACACTGCATATCTATGCCAAACAATGATAGTACCATTAAATGAAGAACTGCTAGATGTAGCCCGCCATTTGCTGTTAGAAAACAGGATATTTCCCATCTCCCAGATAAACTTTTTTCCCCAGAAAAAAGTGCAACCCAACTGAAGGGGACCCCCCCCCCAAGAAGTCAGCTGTTTTAAACAGTAGTAGCATTGGAATGAATCCTTAAATATCTCCCTGCTTTGTCAGCAAGGAGGCTTAACATCAACTAAGCCTGGAGTCATGTCGAATTCCAGGTGTTCTGAATCTTCACTCATGTTGAATCCCAGATGTTCATTCATGCTCTAGGCGGATGTCAACTGCAGAAAAGCACCTCCCCATGCTGCGACATAAGGGTGCAACAAAAACTTCTGTCAGGCTCTTCCACACAGCCTGTATGGAAGGCAACACCATAAGGACTGACCTTATGAAAGGCACCATGACCCTAGAAAAGAGAAGACATGGGGTGAGGAGGAGGTGTAAATAAAAAAAGTAACATTCTGAGCCATCAAACCTAGATGACAGTTATTGATGCATCTTATTAAATGAAATTAGCATTATTTTACTATTTGTTGTTCTCATTCCTAATATTACTATTCACCAGTAGCTCCCAACCCTGAGTCCCCAGATGTTCTTGGACTAAAACCTCCAGAAGCCTTCACCACTAACTGCTGACCAGGAGTTTTGGTCATTGTTTTCTAAGAATATCTGGAGACCCAAGGTTGGGAACCAGTGCTAAACACCAAGCAGATCTATCACCATTATTTGTATATCCTACATCTCCTTTTTGGAGATGCAGGAGAATTGTAGCTCATAAATAACTAAATATAGTCCGGAGCATGGAAATGTTAGTTTTTGGACTAAAATTCCCCAAAGGCTCATGTTGGGATCCTGGAAGTTGTCCAAAAAATAAAAAATAAATTAAAATGAATCATGTAACTTATCCCATGTTCTAATAAATGCAAGTCCACAAATGGGCGAATACCTTTTCAAAAAACACAACTTAGTATCCCATCAAAACTTCACAGGAGGTTTGACGGAATACATGTAATACAAGTATACTCAGGAGTAAGTCCCACATCAATAATGTGTTATCGCAGAGGTAGGCTAATATGGTCCTCTAGATGTTGCAAAGTAAGCTGCAACTCCCATGTTTGTGCTTGCTGGGGCAGTTAGGAACTGCAGTGGAGCAACATCTGGATGGGCAGATGTGCCCCATCCCATTGTAAGATTCTGGGAAATTACACTTGTAACTGATGATGCTAGTAAACATTGTAATATATTATACCCAGTGTGATGTAGTGAATAGCGTGACCGTTGCGACTTGACAGCACAGAACACACACACAATTATTATAATGTTATCCCCACTACCACTCTTTTTGATATGTTTAAGATTTAAAAAATTCACAAGCAAAATCAGGATATGTTAGAAGGTTTAAGGGAAGTTGTTTCGATTCATGCCTCAATCTTAAGCATAAGCAATTTAGAGTAAACCCTACTGAACAAAGTTTCGATTCATGCCTCAATCTTAAGCATAAACCCTACTGAACAAATGGCTTTACTTAATGGTTTTACTGTCAGGTAAACATTGCCCAGGATTACACCATTGCTTCTCTTGTGTTATTGTCTCACTCTGGAAGAGTGTATGATATAATAAAATAAGGATGATAGTGATGGTGCTGTTTGATTATGTTCTGAGGGCCTTGCTCTCAGTTAAAAATACACAAAACTGTAATCTCAATTATTTGTAGCACATCAAAGGAAGGAGAAAAGAAAGCTGATCTATAGATGTTCCCTGCCAGGTTTCCTGGAGTTGGTTTGTGATAGCCACAGCATGGCTGTATTCATCCATGAGTTAATGTCAAAGCAAAGCCAGGCTCTTTGATCTTTCCTGCCATGATGGCCATAGAATCATCAGTGAAGTTGGAAGGGGCCCATAAGGTCATTGATTCCAATCCCCTGATGGCAGGTGGTTGTCTAAATCTTTCTTGAATGTCTCCAGCAGTGGAGCACTCACTACCTCCCAAGGCGATTGGTTCCATTGTCATACTGCTTTAACAGTTAGGAAGTTTTCCCTGATATTCAACTGAAATCTGGCTTCCAACAACTTGAGCCCGTTATTACATGTCTTAAACTCTTGGATCACAGAGCACAGATCTATCTTGCTCCTCCTCTGTATGACAATCTTTCAAGTACAAAATTTGAAAAATGCCGTCATCAGTCTTTCCTCAGTATTTCTGAGGTCCAGATGGCCTATTCATTTTTCCTCTCCATCTCTCCTCTGTGTCATAATCTGAGGGTGAAGCACAGCAGATGAGAGCAAACAGGAAGTAATAAAAATACTCTGACACCATGTTGCTTTAAAAGCAGATTTCATTGAAGGTGACAACTACTTTACTGGCTTCTTCAGATATGAGCCTTCACATTTCAAAAGATCAGTGTGTCAGCCAGTCAACTTGTCTATGTCTTTATCCACTTATTTAGTAACCTATGGAAAATTCTATTATCATGCTTTATAGATCTTTTGAAATATTGGTCTCAGCTCTTAAGCTGAATACTATAGGAAAAGGCCACAGTGTGATTATATGAATGTATGTTTTGCTGGGAGAAAGCTTCGTCTTCACCATCTCCAGTTAAAAAATCATCAGGTAGTAGGTAAAGATAAAGGTTCCCCTTGACATTTAGTCCAGTCGTGTTCGACTCTAGGGCGCGGTGCTCATCCCCGTTTCCAAGCCATAGAGCCAGCGTTTGTCCAAAGACAGTTTCCATGGTCACGTGGCCAACGCGACTAGACACAGAATGCTGTTATCTTCCCACCGTGGTGGTACCTATTTATCTACTTGCATTTTTACACACTTTCTAGCTGCTAGGTTGGCAGGAGCTGGGACAGGTGACAGGAGCTCACTCCCTTGTGTGGATTCGATCTTACGACTGGTGGTCTTCTGACCTTGCAGCACAGAGGCTTCTGCGGCTTAACCAGCAGCGCCACCACGTCCCTAGACAGCGGGGGACCCTAGAGGTCTGTTGCCATTAGGAATAAACAATACTAAACTAAATTGCACAATAGTTTTTGGCTCAGTACAAGGGACTTTAATCTTTTCAGTCATTGATTCAGAATTTCACAGCCAAAATTAGGGCTCTTAACACATTGCCTGCTGTTGAAGCAAGTACCAAAGCAGTTCCCACTGAAGTTGATATAATCAGGACACAACCTTAGGAATTAATCCACATCCTCAGCCAGTTTGCAGGGTGCATACCAATGCACTAAAAATGTTGAATGCATAGTATGAACAACAAACTAATACTTTCTTGAACATTGTTGTTGCTGGCAATAGATATATTAAGTATCATTCAAGAGTTCTTACATCAAGGTGATTCACAATCCTTTTGCAATCAGGACTGAAAAATGCTTTCTATGGTCAAATGACAGAGGATTAAGCATACAAAAACTAGTGACAAAACCTTGGTATTAATATCTATAGCAGTGGTTCTCAACCCTGAGTCCCCAAATGTTCTCAGACTACAACTCCCATAAATCCTGGCCAAAACAGGCAGTGGTGAAAGCTTCTGGAAGTTTTAATCCAAGAACATCTGGGGACCCAAGGTTGGGAACCACTGATTTACAGTATGATATACACACACAACTACCAGCAGAAAAGTAAATACACTTGTCATAAATTTATTCCAGACATACAATTGCTCTATAAAGAAACATGCTCCAAAACAGGGCAAGACGATGCACCAAATGGGTGGTGCTTATAGATGGAACGTGTTTCCTCGTAAGTTAAAAACAAGGGTAACATGCACTAAAACTAAGAATAAAACTGCAACTCTTCACTGCGATTCAAGTGGCAAAATTCCTTTTTGACATTCTAGAGGCTCAGACCAGCCTCTTAATCTCTTACCATTAACAGGCAGAATTTGGCATCTGTCACTGGAGATACTGATAGGGAATCAGTATACGGCATTCACACACCCACACTTACTGTAAGGATCCATTTTAAAGTATTCATACATGTCCTGTATTTAACATTTCATCCTTAACTAACATTGGCAGCAAAAGAAAAGGAGAAAGAGCCATTTAAACAGCAGAAGAATGCAGAGGGACAATCTTCTCTTAACAAGCCTGCAAACAGTTCACTTAAGTAGTGGTTGGTACTGGCACAGCTTCAAATTATTGTTTCATACCTAACAGATAGTGTAACTATGGCCACCACTGCAACTAAGCCTGCCAGAGGAGAAGGTCCAAGGTAAGCTAAATGTAACAGTAGCCTGAAAAGGGAACTACACCCTCACATTGCTATTGTCTCTCTCCCAGTTATTTGGATTTTTGAAAAAGTCCGGACTTGTCCTTCCACTCAGACAAGGATGTGTCAGGATGTGCCCATGCAAAGTTCAGACCACATAAGGGCTAAACCTTCTGCACTCCAATGTGGGTATGCAAGGGCTTTTCTAGTCCCAGAGAGTTCTTGGATGCCAAAGGAATGTGAGGTCAAGTCCTTATGTGGATTTTTGGCATGCTGACAGAATAAAAACTCCCTTCTGTTGGCACTTCAGAAAAGCTTCCTAAAGGAGGGTTTCCAAAATATGCCTCTACACATAGACGGGAATTTAAGCTCCTCACACACAAAGCTCTGAGGCAGGTTCATAATAGGTTCTCTATTTCTTTTAAGCCGAAGAAAACAAAATATTGTGGCAAGGATTACACCCCCTTAGGAAACTAGCTGAAGCTGGGTGGGGGCGGAGGGGAATCCAGCAGTCCCTACGCCACTGGTATTGCTTTGGCTCTTTCCCAAAGGACACTGGGAGTGTTTGAGTGGAATTCACTACCCTGCCCTCAAAACAAGCAGCCGTTGCTGCACGCTCAGTAACCAAACAGATTCCACAGGAAAATAGAACAATAGCCCCACAGGCCCACCTCCATGTTCTCAGATAAGCATGCCTCCCCTGAGGGCAGCCTTACGGCTAAAAGTCAGGATGGTAAAAAAGTTAAGTGACCTAAAACGTTCTCCTGTGGGGTGGGGTGCGGTGGTGGAAAGCAATGGATGCAGCCTTATTCAGTTCTTCAAAAACCTGCATTGAGTTAAAAGCACCAAGGAGTGTCTGCTCCTATGTATACCAAGTTGTCTGTATCTTGAGGGCCTCACTACAGAACACTCTTCCAGATACTTCTGCCATCTGAGGCAAGATATGTGATATGCAATAACGATAGGAGCAACCGAGGACAAACAAATGGTGTTTATGTGTTTGTGGATCGACCTTGATTAGCAATCATTTTACTGTGATGGACATATTTTTTATCACTGGACAAATACAAGTTCTTCAGGTGATATCCCTCCACATCTGGTGGCAGAGGAAAATCCATGCCTCCTGGACACACTTCAAGATTGTGTAACTACTCTGCAGCACCTGCTGAACTCCATACATCAAGCAAAGATTTATAGCTGGCTATATTTCTGCAGGATCTGGCACATTCTCAGGGCTCAAAATACAGTAACATGAAAGTGCCTATAGAATTATTATTTATTTAAGATATTTATGCATTATGTTCAGCCCACCAGGACTCCTAAACCAATGTACAATAAGGATATTATTCACAATATAGATTAGGAACTTTATTTAAAACTAGATTTAAAACTGAACTAGCTGTGTGTCCCCATGCCCTTTTCTTTCTTTATGCTAGCTTTTCAAGTGGCTAAGTGTGAACAGTCTGCTTAAAAGGAGATGGACATGAGTTCAGATATATAGAAAACTCTGCTGTAAATCACAGTTGGGCTCAAAGCTCTTGGAAACCCAAACAAGACTCTCTTCAAGGCAAGAAATAAAGCTGGGGATACAGGAAGGGTAGGCCCCTAGAAATTGCCCCCTTCCTCCTTTGTGGCTCAATTCTTCAGGTGAACAGTTGTTTTGTAGTTTTTAGGTGCAGTAGCAGGTAAGCCTTCTTTTTAAAAATGCTGAATGTCTTTCCTCTTATGCTGCTCAGCCTATCTGCTCTCAGAAACCCTCCTTACAACTATGCCGGCTACTGTCAAAGGCTTTGGCTAGCCTTTCTGCTAGTGAGTGACAGTGCAATCCTAACTCAAAGAAATGCCTGCTCTGTGATTGGGCACAAACAAAAAAAAATGGCCTTCTCAGGTCATTTTTTCTCAAAAAATTGGCTGATCTCAGAGGTCTGCTGGCATAAGTGGCAAAGTGAGCAAGGAACCAAGTTCTGCTTGACCCCAAATGTGTCCAGACAAGGGTAATAGGCAGAGTCTGGCACAAAAATAAACTAGAGTGAGAGTAGTCCTAAGTAAATTCCAACATCCTTAAACTGGAATGGGTTTGAATTCAGCACAGTTTCAATGGCCCTTCTATTAGCTCTGCTGGTCCGTGGACATCTTGGCCAGTTTGGATTGCACTGTTTGGCTATGACCTTATTAACTTCCCTGGCTCAGATCCTCTCCTTCACTCCACATGTTTTCTGTTATATTAGACTAAGGCAGGAGCTATGTAGAACATACATTCAAACATAATGAATGCTATTTTCTGTTTATTTATGTTGAACAATTCCTTCCTTCCTTTTGCATTGTGCATTTAGGCACTTCTCCATCTCTGCAAAACTGTGTTTTTTAAAAATAATATCTGCTTATGGTTGGCTTGTGGTCCTAGAAAGCCCTTGTCTTCTAAGCATAAAGAAAGATATTGGACAATGGCAGCCATCTGACTTTGCTGTTGATTTGAAATTCAGTTAGGCTGCCTTCTGTTCTGAGATCTTCAAACATGTGAGATGGGTTAATCACTGCAATTTTACCCAATCCATATTTACAGTCATTCAAGGGACAGATACATTTCTTCACGGGGGTAGCATTAGATTCTCACTTAAAATTGGTATTGTATTATCTGTAGTTTATACATGCTGGTTGTTAACTGCCTAGAGAGTAAGTAAAGCAGTTGCTGGTGCACAGTCAGGCCCATGACCAGGCATGCAACCAACACGAACCTAGCACCCCATGGCAACTTCGTGTTCCCTTTAGAAACAGCAATACAAATCTAGTCAAAGGAATTACATGAAACTAGTTATTTCTAATTATCTACTTCAACATTCTGCCAGGTATAGACAAAGTTTAGCTGTGAACACTTAGGATGCTAACTGTTGTCAGGTTTCTCCAGCAATCAATGGCTGAAATCCTGTTGTTTAGAATAGTGAGTTGTCCTAGGGAAGACCCACTGAATCAGTTGGGATTTGGTGAGTTAGCTCCTCTATCAGTTCAATTGATTTAAATGGGCCTACTTACTTGCAACTTACCGTACTTTAACATAGTAAACAGAGGAGGCCCATTTGAATCAATCAAACTTACAGAGTTGACTCACTAAACCACCACTGGTTCAATGTGCCAACTCTAGTGTGACCTCCTAGGCTACCCAGCAGGATTTTGTCCATAATGGCTCCATAGATAATAGCGAAGGTGAATCAGATTGTCTGATATCCTGTAAACTGAGCAGGATTAACATGAGTGACCCCAGAGCTGTTGCAAACAGCTAAAGATAAAAGCTCCACCCCTCAAGATGATGTCTTTTTAGGAAGTACTTTCCGTTTCACTTCCTACTTTATTAAGCAATCTCGCTACTGAAGATGCAGACATCTTGAAATTCCCTTTGGAAGAGTTCATCTAAACCTCCACTATGCATAAATTCTCTATTTTGTGTTCATGGCATGTTGCCATCATACATAGAGATGCATATTCATAGGGGTAATTTGTAACAATATTTAGTAACGTATTTCCTGATTAATGGGAGGTGGTGGTGGTGCGGGCTAAACCGCAGAAGCCTGTGCTGCAGGGTCAAAAGACCAAGCAGTCGTAAGATCGAGTGAGCTCCCGTCACTTGTCCCAGCTCCCGCCAAGCTAGCGGTTCAAAAGCATGCAAATGCGAGTAGATAAATAGGGACCACCTCAGTGGGAAGGTAACAGCGTTCCGTGTCTAAGTCACACTGGCCATGTGACCACGGAAGATTGTCTTCGGACAAACGCTGGCTCTATGGCTTGGAAACGGGGATGAGCACCGCCCCCTAGAGTCGAACACGACTGGACAAAAATTGTCAAAGGGAATCTTTACCTTTACCTTTACCTTCCTGATTAATGCTGCTAAGAACCAGTCCCAGTGTCTGTTTTTTTGGCAGCAGGTATTAATAGCAGGCATTGATAAAATAAATTCCCTAGTCCCTTCTCTCATGACACATATGTGCAAGTAAGACGGGGTTTCTCATGTATGGCAAACAATAGCCAACCTATTATGGACAGTAAACCTGCTGCAGGAGGCTGGCAAACTGGTAGAGCTTGAAAAAGGTAGTATAGCTCCCAGAATCTCCCAGAAAGCCCCCAGTCCCCTTTCCAAAGATGACTGGCAGATTCAAGGAGCCGTACTGAATGATGCAGTTACTTCTGCAATTACTTTTTTAACAAACCTGATTGGCTGCTTGTTGTATGGAAAGTGAGTCTGACTTACGCACATGTATGAATTTGACCATACTTCCAATTTTGCGCTAACTAAATCTTCACAATATTATACTGATGGTGATATAATACAGAGATGCTCAGTGTGGTGTAGTAGTGGATAGAGTGATGATCTTCTAGGACTCAGGAGGCCTGGGTTTGAATGCCCACTCAGCCATGGAAACTGACTGGGGGTGTAAAACTGGTAAAACCACTCCTTAAATATCTCACCTACCTTGAAAACACCATTAGTTTTACTACAGAGTCAGTTCCAACCTGATGGCACATAATATAACATGTTACATCTGTCTGTCTAGCTACAGATGAATGTTGCAAAGGTGCTGTGCATATTGAGGTTGCATTCCTCTGCTCACTGAAGTGAAAGTAAGTCACCTGGAACTCAGTAGGCCTTCCTTCCAACCAGATGTACCAGTTCCTTTTGGGTTTTGTAATTTTTTCCTTACTTCCAACTAAACAGAAATAGGATTGGCTTGAAAGAACGCTATAAAAATAAGAATGAACCCATTCCAGGAATCACAGAAGAAACATAAAAGAAACTGCTGGTTATATTTGTATTATACTGTACAGTATTCTCTCTTTACTGTCTGTAGATAGCTATTCCAGTTCAGCAGACATAAAGTGGGAAAGGTCTTACCAGATGTGCAGGCAGCTGAGCACAGCAAAGAGAATCCCTGCAACCAGGGCCAGGGGAATAGCAAGGACAAGGGTCAGGAGCTTGTACACCAGGTATTTGCTGAGCTCGAAGAGGGCATGGCTGCAGATCCAAACCTTATCGAAGGAGTGGGTTGAAGCCGGCTCTGCGATCACATCCTCAAATCCCAGCTGCAACGAAACACACAGGCACGTTTTAGCAACAAACCGGCCTCTATTTCTGAAATGCAAATAATGTGCCAGCTATGCGAGGAGCTGAGAGAGCGAGCAGGGGAGCGACGGCCACAGAGCTAAACGGTGGCTTTTGTAAGGGAACCGAAAGAATCCCGCTGGATCAAAGCGCCACAAGCATAGTTTCTCCCCAGATGCTTCTTCCGCGTCAAAGGGATTTGGAGTTCTATCTTTTAAAATAATAATACTGTACTGTAATAATAATAATAATAACAACAAACGAAGTACCTGAGAACCTGGAAAGGCAATGTTGATGCCTATCCGTGCAGTTACCTACAAACCCGACCTAGATCACGACGAGTTCTACACACATACACACCCCGCCTCCAAATGAAGAGAATCAGGAAGGAAAAGGGGGCTCCACGGTATCCCAGATAACAAGGGCAGTTAACGTCTAGCCTAAAGATGGGACCAAAACTTGGGGAGGTTATTCTTTTTTTTTTAATGGGACGACACCTCTCAGAAACCCCCAGCCAGCGACGGACGGGCCGGGGCAGGGAGGAGGGAGCGGGAGGGGCACCCAAGAGCCGAAAATCGCCTTACATGGAATAAACGCACCAAGCGCTCGAACGCCAGAACAGGTGGGGGGTGGAGTGGGTGGGGGGAAATGGGATCGTGTGGATGGAGGGGAAGGCGGGTGGAGGCTGGTACCCGGGAAGGGAGCCGCTTTCCCCCTCACCTTCAGATGAGTGTTGAGCCCGTGCGGGTCCCGGTTGGGGGGTTTCTCCAAGTTTTTGTCCAGATCGGACAGAGCCGGGCTGTCCCTTCGATCGTAGCCTTCTTCGTCCATAAAGATCTTCGTGTCCGCTTTCTCCTCCAGCCCCATGGTCGGGCGGGCGCGCGGACGAGCGGCGTCCCTCCCGCAGCAATTCCTGGGTCGTGGCCCGGGAGCTCCCCCCCTCCCCGCTTCTCTCTAGGGCGCTTCGGGACGGTGCCGCCCGGAGGAGCAGGCGAGTCCCCGGCCACGCCCCGGAGAAGGCCACCTCCAACGCGCGACGCCGCCAAAGCACCCGCCAGGCTGGGCAAAGCAGTGCCGGCGGGAGGAGCGGCCCGAGAAGGGGAGAGCCGCCGCCGTGCCCGCCCGGCTTGCGCGCATGCCTCGGCGAAAGTGGGCCGCTAATTGTCGTGGGAGTCCGTCTCCCCTCCCCTACACACACGAGACTTTTTCTCACGCGTCCTTTCCACCCCCAGGTTTAGCCCCCAACGACCCCCTCGAACTGAAGGGAGCTTGCTAGCCGCCACTAACGGAACAAGAGAAGCGGGTTCGGATCCTCGCTGGCCCACGAAGCCGTGTGGATGGCCTCGGGGTCAGTTAGGCTTGGCCCTCGCCTGGCCTACCTCGCGGGGAGCTTGTGAGGGTGAAGTGGGCAGAAGGAGAGCCCTGACCTCTCAGGAGGAGAGGTGGAATAGAAATAGAGGCCGTCCATAAACAAGTCGGGTTGGTTTCAGTGAAACCTTTTTAGTTGGGGCTGAAACTAACCCAGAGGTAGCCACAGATGGTGGGGCAACCAAGAGCTTAGCAGGTGGAGCGCCTTTACCCCAGAATTTTGTGATGATATGCCCTTCAGCTGGGATCCTAGGCTGCCTATGGCTGGTGCCGGAAATAGGTTCCACCTCAGTTAACTGGCAGAGTGAGACAGCCACCCCTCAGGCTGCTGATTTTGGGAGGGCCAAGAGGGCACCAAATTATGAGCTATTTAATTGATTGTTATTGCTGATTTACTGCTGGAAAATGAGAGATCCGTTTCAGGGATTTTCTGATTCATGTGCTTAAATGACTTGGCTGACTTTGGATACAAGGCACCTTGATGCAGGTGAGTGGGGAGTGCCGCTTCTTCGCCTCAGGCAGCAACATGTCCCAAGCCACTCCCCCCCCCCACGTATACCTTATAAATGAATCATACACTGGAAATGAAATTAAGACTGAAATCCTGAGCAGGCTTGCTGAAAAGTGAACTCCCTGAAAATCATGCATTTGCTTTAGAGAAAATGTGCCTAGGGTGAGTATTCATGAGACATTTCCAAAGAAGTAGCTGTGGTAGTAGCCATAGTCTGTGTCAGCATGTTGGCAACAGTAAAGGAAAAAAGAGAATATACAGTATATGAAGAATATATAGGCAAAATATTGTAGTACTTTAAAGATTAACAGAATTATTTCAATGTAAGCTTTTGTCCCTTATAGCACAGGTCCCCAACCCCCAGTCCGTGACTCAGTACCGGATTGTGGCCTTGTCAGGACCTGGCCATGGAGACAGATCTCCTGTCTCTTCCCCCCTCCAAAAGCACACCCCCATGCACTCCCACCTGCACACACGGCCCACCCACCTGCATGTATGGGTGTCCCGCCCATCCCCACACATGGCCCGCCCACCTGTCCATCTGTATGAGCGCGGCCCGCTCACCCGCGAGTAACCCCCTCCCATCCATGCATACAGGGGAGTACGCCCCCCTGCCCACCCATGAGTGCGCCTCACCCATGTCCAGAAAATCTCAAATTAAAATATAGCAATAGTCTTTAAGATGACACCACGATTTGCTTTTATTTTTATTCACTGGGATTAAGCCCAGAGGCTATTTTATTACCAGAGTATTCTTTGAAGCTACCCCTTAAGACTCTGGCCTTTAGCAGTGTCTTTTCATAACATCACATCAGTTATAACAACAACAACAACAACAACAACAACAACAGCAGCAGCAGCAGCAGCAGCAGCAAAACAACAACCTTAGAACTGCAGAGCTGGAAGGGACCCTATGGATCATCAAGTCCAGCCCCTGTCAAGGAGGCAAAGTAGGGAACTGAACTCCCAATTTATGGCTTTGCAGCCAGAGACCTAAACCACTGAGCTGTGATGCTCACTTCCATGTCATTTACTCCTGCATCATCATCACTACTTTGGTATTGTACAGTATTTATTTATCTATTTATTTTTTGATTTATACCCCGCCTATCTGGACTACCAGTTCACTCTAGGCGGCTAGAGTGTACTTCTCACCTATTGCATCATCATCACTACTTTGGTATTGTACTGTACTTCTCACCTACCTCTTTCTAATCCACATACGTATTGAGGACTGGAATACTGCTGAGATAAGAATAAATCTGGCCTTCCAGGGTTTGGAAAGTTGCTTGCCATACTTTTTTCTGCTGGCAGTGTGGGCACAATATTGTGCAGCAAGACTGAGCCATTTCCTGGCTCTTTTATCATCAGTACAGAAGAACAATATCCCATATTCATAAATTGGAGGTTGTTGTTTTTTTTGAAGAATAGAATGTCCTGGCTTTTTAAAATGGTAGTTTAAATGTGCAAATGCTACCTGCAAATCCAATCAGAAATTTCCCTCATATAGAATTACTTGGGGATGGAGGATTGCAAAAGATGAGCATAGGATCAGTACTATCATTACTGGGAGAAGAAAGAAGCAAGAACAGCTTGGATGTGGCTATAGCACCTCCTTGCCAAAATATTTTGAAGGACTGTTTTGGACTTAATGAAATGACGAAGCAAAGATGTGAGAAGGTACAACAAATTACAATGGAGAAACATACATACCCTTTCACCTTCTAGTTAAACTAATATTGCCATGCCCGCTCATCGAATGTAGACTGGAAAGCTGTGTTCCTTAGGTATCTGGCTGAGGACTCTGCACTGTAGTTCCTGTGAGAAGAGCCAAGTGGTGTGGTCTTGGGTTGCTGTAAGTCAGAACTGACTTCACTGGACACGGTTATAATTATCCTTACCAGTAGACTAGAAAAATAGGGAACATACTGTCTGTTTCCCTCTAGACATCAATTCTTATATTGCACCTTGGTAAAAGACCAAAGACAATATAAGATAATGCTTCCCTTGCCACCTAGAGTTGATAAGAGAATGGAACAAAGCCTCTCAAAATACATATAACAATGCTTTAAAATGTCTTTTGAAAAATAACTTTTGATAGTAACTTAGTAACTTAGATGTTACTCATCAGACCTAAGGTAATTATTACTGTCAGTGCTCATTACTGAAGAGTACCTACTTACAGAAGCTTCAGTAGCTGTTACATGCTGTCAAGTCACCTCTGATTTATAGTGACCCAATGAATGAGCAATCTCCAGAATGTCTTGTCCTCAACAGCCCTGCTTCAACTCTTGTATACTCAAGGTTGTGGTTCATTTAGAGAGTTAATTTATCTCATATTTGGTGTTCCTCTTTTCCTGATGCCTTCATCTTTCCCCCTTACAATATTGTCTTTTTCAGAGAATCTTGCCTTCCCATGATATGCCCAAAGTACGACAGCCTCAATTGCATCATTTTTACCTCCAGAGATTGTTTTTATTTATTTATTTTATTGGATTTCTACCCCGTCCATCTAAACCAAAGATCTACTCTGGGCGGCATTACAGATTTAAAAACAGTTAAGAGTTGATTTGATCTAGGACTCAATTGTTTGTCTTTCTGGCAGTTCAGCGTATCTGCAGCGTATTTCCTTCAGCATTACATCTCAAACAAATGGATCGTTCTTTTCTGTCAGCTTTCTTTATTATCCATTTTTCACACCTGTACGTGATTGGGAATACAATAGTATGGGTGATCTTGGTCTCTAGTGACACATTCTTATACTTCATGATCCTTTCTAATTCCTTCATTGTTGCCTTTTGGAGTTTCTGTCTCCTTCTGATTTCTTGGTGGCACTCTGTGTTTAGACTGATGATTGAAGGAAGATGTGGAAAATCTTGAACAATTTTAATTTCTTTATTACCAACATTGATGTTGTGTAGTTCATCTATAATTACGATTTTTATCTTCTTAATGTTCAGCTGCAGTCCTGCTTTGGCACTTTCTTCTTTCACTTTCACTAAAAGTCATTTCAAGTCATTGCTGCTTTCTGCCAGTAAGAAGGTGTCACCTGCATATTATATAGATTATATAGACGTTTCTTCCACCAATGTTCACTCCTTCCTCTGAATCTAGTGCAGCTTTCTATATGATATGTTGCGGGTACAGATTCAACAGGTAAGGGAATAAAATCTAAGTCACTTTCTTCTTTCACTTTCACTAAAAGTCATTTCAAGTCATTGCTGCTTTCTGCCAGTAAGAAGGTGTCACCTGCATATTATATAGATTATATAGACGTTTCTTCCACCAATGTTCACTCCTTCCTCTGAATCTAGTGCAGCTTTCTATATGATATGTTGCGGGTACAGATTCAACAGGTAAGGGAATAAAATCTAAGTCACCTTGGAGTCCTTTTTTAAGGAGAAAGGCAGGGTTAAAATATTTCAAATAAATAAAGTGCAGCTTTCTATATGATATGTTGCGGGCACAGATTCAACAAGTAAGGGAATAACATCTAAGTCACCTTGGAGTCCTTTTTTAAGGAGAAAGGCAGGGTTAAAATATTTCAAATAAATAAAATAAAAATGCACTTTTATCTGACACCTTTGCCTATAGGAAACAATTCTTTCTCCCCATGTTCTGTCCTAGCTTCTTGTCCACAATACAGGTTATTCATCGGGATAATCAAATGATGAAGCACAGCCATTTCTTTTAGAACAAACCATATTTTTTCATGATCCACGCAAAGACTTTGCTGTATTGTAGTTTATAAAGTATAGGCTGATTTTCTTCTGAAATTCTTTGGTGCACTTCACTAGCTAGTGGATAATTGTAATATGATCTTAGATTTCTGAAATTCTTTGGTGCACTTCACTAGCCAGTGGATAATTGTAGTATGATCTTAGAGTGCCTCTTCTTTTTTTGTATCCAGCTTGAATATCAGACATTTCTTACTTCATACAGTATAAGAAAAAGGTCTTTGTTGCAACACCTTGAACATCACTTTGCTTGCGTGGGAAATTAGAACAATGGTCCTATATTACTGCACTCTTTGGTGTCTCTTTTCTTGGGGATAGGAATATACGTTGAATGTTGCCAGTCTGTGGGCCATTGTTTTGTTTACCATATTTGTTGGCATATTCTTGTTAGGATTTTGACAGCCTGAGTCTCTGTGGCTTGTAAAAGTTCTGTTGGTATCCTATCTACACCTGGGGTT